ATGTCCATGTAACCCTCATGTCCATGCAACCCTCATGTCCATGTAACCCTCATGTCCATGCAACCCTCATGTCCATGCAACCCTCATGTCCATGCAACCCTCACCATGTAACCCTCATGTCCATGCGACCCTCATATCCATGTAACCCTCGTGTCCATGTAACCCTCATGTCCATGTAACCCTCATGTCCATGCAACCCTCATGTCCATGTAACCCTCATGTCCATGCAACCCTCATGTCCATGTAACCCTCATGTCCATGCAACCCTCATGTCCATGCAACCCTCATGTCCATGTAACCCTCATGTCCATGTAACCCTCATGTCCATGCAACCCTCATGTCCATGTAACCCTCATGTCCATGCAACCCTCATGTCCATGCAACCCTCATGTCCATGTAACCCTCATGTCCATGTAACCCTCATGTCCATGTAACCCTCATGTCCATGCAACCCTCATGTCCATGCAACCCTCATGTCCATGTAACCCTCATGTCCATGCAACCCTCATGTCCATGCAACCCTCATGTCCATGTAACCCTCATGTCCATGCAACCCTCATGTCCATGTAACCCTCATGTCCATGCAACCCTCATGTCCATGCAACCCTCATGTCCATGTAACCCTCATGTCCATGTAACCCTCATGTCCATGCAACCCTCATGTCCATGTAACCCTCATGTCCATGTAACCCTCATGTCCATGTAACCCTCATGTCCATGCAACCCTCATGTCCATGCAACCCTCATGTCCATGCAACCCTCATGTCCATGCGACCCTCATGTCCATGCAACCCTCATGTCCATGTAACCCTCATGTCCATGCGACCCTCATGTCCATGCGACCCTCATGTCCATGCGACCCTCATGTCCATGCGACCCTCATGTCCATGCAACCCTCAAGTCCATGTAACCCTCATGTCCATGCAACCCTCATGTCCATGCAACCCTCACCATGTAACCCTCATGTCCATGTAACCCTCACCATGTAACCCTCATGTCCATGCGACCCTCATGTCCATGTAACCCTCGTGTCCATGTAACCCTCATGTCCATGCAACCCTCATGTCCATGCAACCCTCATGTCCATGCAACCCTCATGTCCATGCGACCCTCATGTCCATGTAACCCTCACCATGTAACCCTCATGTCCATGCAACCCTCATGTCCATGTAACCCTCATGTCCATGCGACCCTCATGTCCATGCGACCCTCATGTCCATGCGACCCTCATGTCCATGCGACCCTCATGTCCATGTAACCCTCATGTCCATGTAACCCTCATGTCCATGCGACCCTCATGTCCATGCGACCCTCATGTCCATGTAACCCTCATGTCCATGCGACCCTCATGTCCATGTAACCCTCATGTCCATGTAACCCTCATGTCCATGCGACCCTCATGTCCATGCGACCCTCATGTCCATGCGACCCTCATGTCCATGTAACCCTCATGTCCATGTAACCCTCATGTCCATGCGACCCTCATGTCCATGCGACCCTCATGTCCATGTAACCCTCATGTCCATGCGACCCTCATGTCCATGCAACCCTCATGTCCATGTAACCCTCATGTCCATGCGACCCTCATGTCCATGCGACCCTCATGTCCATGCGACCCTCATGTCCATGTAACCCTCATGTCCATGTAACCCTCATGTCCATGCGACCCTCATGTCCATGCGACCCTCATGTCCATGTAACCCTCATGTCCATGCGACCCTCATGTCCATGCGACCCTCATGTCCATGTAACCCTCATGTCCATGTAACCCTCATGTCCATGCGACCCTCATGTCCATGCGACCCTCATGTCCATGTAACCCTCATGTCCATGCGACCCTCATGTCCATGTAACCCTCATGTCCATGCAACCCTCATGTCCATGCTGTCTCTGGAGGAGCAGATAGGAGACAAGACCTCCCGTAACCTAAAATGAACCAAAGCTTCCTCCCAGTTTCTCTTTAAGCTGAATTCAACATCAGTTTATCTTCATGAAACAAAAGAATAAAGTGGAACAAGAACTTCTGTCTTATTTCTCCTGTTAACTTCTCCGTGTCCCTAAATTAAAGATGATTACGCTGCAGCCGCCGTCACTCTCCTCTGCCACTTCCCCAAGACCAGATCTCCCGACATCACAGCACTCGCTCTGACTGAGCGCTTCGAGTTGAAATGATTATTAAATTATGAAAATAATAACGCGTGTTAGGAGGAACGTCCTCCGATCCTCTCTCTTGTGTGAGCAGACAATGTCTCTCTCTCTCTCTCTCTCTCTCTCTCTCTCTCTCTCTCTCTCTCTCTCTCTCTCTCTCTCCCTCTCCCTCTCTCTCTCTCTCTCTCTCTCTCTCTCTCTCTCTCTCTCTCTCTCTCTCTCTCTCTCTCTCTCTCAGTCGCTGATCGAGCGAGCGCGCCGCGTGACAACCCGCTCAATTAACATAATTCATGGCCCAAATCCAACAGAACCGGTCGGGCTGATTCGGTTCCGGTTCGGTCTCAGGTTACAACTCCAGCGCTCAGCCCTGCAGAACCACATTAAGGCGGAACCACTTGGTAAATGTGGAGGACGCTCACTCTGACAGATCTGGATGCGGCGCTGGTGCCGGCGTTAAAAAAACAAAACTACATTCCACTATAATCGATTATGGCGTACTCTTCTACGATGCAGAATCGTTTATGTCCGCATCCCGATGCATCGATTATTTGATTATTTTCCTAAGCTCTAACGTGCATGCATGTGTGTGTGTATGTGTTTGGGGGAGGGTACATTGGAACTTTGTCCCCCCCAGTTTGAAAATCATATCTGCGCCCCTGCATGTAAACCAACTTTGTGTTTATCAGCAGTTTCCTGGTTTGTGTGTGTGTGTGTATGTGTGTGTGTGTGTGTGTGTGTGTGCGTGCGTGCGTGCGTGCATGCGTGTGTTTGTGTGCGTGTGTGTGTGTGTAGTTCCTCTACAGAACAAATGTCTAGTCATCAGCTTGTAAAACTAGCTAAACTGGAGCAGAGTTCAGAGGAAGTTCTCCTTCATATACAAATCTAACTGAACAGGATTTATTTTTAAGTTATCTGATTTGTTTTTGTGCAGAAACAGGAAAAGTTTCAGTTCTTTAAACTGACTCAAAAGGAAACTGCTAGAACCCATAAAACAGGACAAGCAGAAAATAAGCTGAGAAGCAGAGCGGAGGTGGGTCCACCTGCATGACTCGACACCACGCGGTGGATCTAATCTGATGATCGAAATGCTCAGAGTCACACAAACACCACACATTCCCTCTCAGAGCTAAAGATTAGGAGCTGGATCGGGGATTTTATTGTGTGATCCTGATCCGGACCTGGAGACCAGTGCCAGAACCTCGCCTCCCAGCAGAACCCAATCTGGGCTTTTACGCTAAAAAAAAACTGTTTTCCAGCAGCGTTTGCCAGAGACTCTAAATGGTAAATGGTTTGTATTTGATATAGCGCCTTCTAGAGTCCTGGAACCCCCCAAGGCGCTTTACAACACAATCAGTCATTCACCCATTCACACACACATTCACACACTGGTGGTGATGAGCTACGATGTAGCCACAGCTGCCCTGGGGCGCACTGACAGAGGCGAGGCTGCCGAGCACTGGCGCCACCGGTCCCTCCGGCCACCACCAGCAAGTATGGTGGGTTCAGGGTCTTGTCCCAGGACATGACGACAGCGGCAGACTGGGCGGGGCTCAAACCTGCAACCTTCTGATTACGGGGTGAGCACTTAGCTCCTGTGCCACCGTCACCTCTAAAACTCATGAAATCAAAAAAACAGATGACCTTGCTGGGAAGAATCAGACCTGTGGTCCTCCTGGCCCAGTGGGCGTTAAGCTCGTTCCCTGCTGTACTGGTGGGATTTCGTACCTCACAAGCAGGCAGATTACCAACATTTGTCGCACTCAGATGCTGAAACATTTACAGTAACTTGTCTAGGACCTGGTGGAGGTCAGCGTTTCATCATCTGCAGCGTATACACTTCCTCATCTTCAAACTGTTTAAAAGAGTTTCCAAGTAGAAATGTTGCACCTTGTATGATCCTTGTTTTCTCCGAGAGGCAGGGTCTAAGCCAGCTCTATTTGTGTTGTTTGTTCATTTAAAACGTGTCGCTGTTTTCATTTATTCAGATTCTGGCTCTTGCTGCTTAAACTGTTTTACTGCTGATGGACAGATTCTGGTTTTCAGGGACGATTTACCTCAAACTTTCCCCCAATTTATGTTTAACTTCACATCTTCTGACTCGACGTCTTCTTGAGGATCTGATGGTGTTTGCGTGAATGAACCATTAACAGTGGTGAGTTCGTGGACCAGAAAGATTTTGTTGCTGCATGTTTGACATTGATGCATTCAAGGACAATCAGATTTTCCTTGGCTCATTCCAAAGGTGACTGGTGTGCTGGATTAAATAAAGTTTAATAATACAAGAAAGCAGTTAATCTGACTTTAGTTTGGTAGATTTAGCTGTGTGTGTGTGTGTGTGTGTGTGTGTGTGTCACACAGAGCAACATAATAAAATAATTTGGTTTAAAGCCTCCAAAAGCAGCACAGCTCAGGTCCGCCATTGTTTTCTGCGCGCGCCGCCCACGAGCTCGGGGACTTTCGCTTTCCTGAGAAGTCTTCCTTCGGATTTGACCGAACTCACGCCATCCAGCCCCACCAAGAACAGGTGTTCTGGAGTTATCTGCGTCGGAGCTGGAGGTCTAAACAGATTAGTTTAACCTGAACTTAACCATGAGTGCTAAATTTATTTTGCATGTACTTATCTGTTTGTTTGCCTTTACTTGATTTATTTGAAATCACAATCAGTTCAAAAACATAAAAATAAACAATTTAAAACTTAAGGAAAATATATATTTCTAGTTAAATGAGAGAAATATGGGTTTGATTAAAGTTTTGGATCAGAGCCAACACCGGCTGAAGGATGAAAACAATAAGAACCGTTATTTATCGATCCTGCAGACCCGGTTCTGCTCCCAGCTGATTCGTGCACTTACCGGGCTGTAAAACGGGTTCTGGTTGAACGCCATAATGAGGAAACGGTACCGGTCCGGTTCGCTGTTAGTCAATACTCTCCTTCTAGTCTTTTGAAGCAAAACGGAGGTTTGTGGAGAAGAAGGAGCAGCTTTTTAACTTTCGGTTTCCCTCAGTAGGCGGACTCTCGAACGCAAGTTTTTTTTTTTTTTTTTGAACTTTTTCATTTACAAACAACATGGCATAAATTCCTTTGTTTTACATTACCTGGGATCAGGTGCAAAAAAGGATAACAAAAGAGATTTTGCGTAGAGAGCAAGAATATTTGTGAAGGAAACAATCTAACAAAAGATAAATAAATAAATTAAACAAACAAAAACAAACAAAAAAAAAAGAGACAGAGCTAGGGCTCTCTCGAACGCAAGTGGAATAACCGGAATCCAGAGGTATCCCCCACAATGCCGCTCTAAAAATGGTCCCATCCCGGAAGTAAGAAAAATTGCAGTTCCACTCTCATCCGCTGGGGGCTGGTACCAGAAGCGAGCAAATCCTCATTGACCCCCATGTTAAAAATGCCATTTTCACAGCAGAAATAAACATGTTTACAGCCTGGTTCAAAAAATGGTTTTTTGTCTAAATTATCTAGTTTATACTCATGACAACTCTGAGGGGGGTGAATTTTTTTCTCACTCTTCTGTTTAAGTGTATTGAAAGCCTAAAATTCTGTATAATTAATGAGCATCCGACACACGTGACCGCCGCCTCAGACCCACGTGACCACATAGCTAGCTCCGTGGAAAGGCCTCAGTACAGCCTCGGTCTCTCCTGGAAACTGTGTCGGGATTTTGAGTCTCTGTGCTTGTGAATTCTGTTTTGGATAATATTGGTGCAATTGTTGGACAAAATGACTTGCTGTGGTATTAATTGCGCTAATAGAGCGTCCAAGGAGTCTCCACTTCATTTTTTTCGGTAAGTTAAAATCTATATTTGTATTTTATGTCACTGCTGCCTAGCTGAGTTTACCGAAGTAGCTAGCTAACTATCATTTTAACGTGTAGCATGTACTGTTTAACCATGAAATTTAAATGTAAAATACGGTAAAATAATTAATAGGGCATATTTCGATGGGTAAAAGGGTAAAACCCAGTGCATTTAAGATAAAAATGGGTTGAAAGATGACGCAGCGCGCCGCTTGGAGGGACACCTGTGCTCCATTCTTTCATCCGGTAATCCCCGACCGATCCGGCGCCTACTTGCTGCGCCTAGCTGCTGCGCGGTCTGACCGCTCGTGGAGTTTTTCATGTCTGACTTTAACCGCATCTAATACTGTATTACGGCTTGAGCGCAACAGCGACAACTTAATATCGATGTGTAAGCAGCCTGAGTGGTAGGGTGTTTTCATCTGAACCCTTAAAACCTCCAGCAGGCTACGCTGCACTATTGACGTGTTCGCGCGCGGCGCTAACAACTTAGCAACGTGACATGTCTCTGAGAAAGCGTAAAACACGGACGCTTCTTCTGAAGCGGAAAATAACACTTCTTCTTAAGCAGAGCAGGATGTCGCCTCGGCTCGTTCACGGCCGAGCCGGACTGGGCTCGATAACATTGACCAAGCACAGCCACTGGGCCGTTGTAGCTGCCACCAGGCCTGCTGAAGGAACTCCAGCGGGTTTCATCAGACTCGTAAAGTTTCTTGTTTTTGCTGGGGATTTCTGTATTTTACCGCTCCCTCCTGCAGTCTTCCCCTATTAAAATTTAAAATGTGTAACTTTATGTATTGTGATGAATGACTAATATTCATGTAAAACTAAAACGTTAGGCATTTAGGGGGAAAAAACAAAATAATAAACATTATACAGATGTCAAATAAATCAAACTGTAATTAAACTATATATTTTCAAAGTCATATAGACAGCATGATGGTTTGTGTGATCCGCGCGGTTTCACTTACACCCCTTTAATGATCAGGCTGTTTTTTTTATTTTTATCAGCTGATAGCAGTTAAAATTATGGTAAAAAATACTTTTTCTGTTTTTGATAACTTAATGCCCAGGAAGAACATCTTCTCTAGACATTAAATATAACCCAAATGTTTTCTTATGAGCAGATCTGATGAAGGTGTAGACAAGCAGTCTGCAAAGTAAAACTTGTTTAGAGTCCAAACTCTTACTAAAGCTTTTGAAAAGAAAAAATGGTTGAATTTTGAGAAATATCCACAACAGGGGAGCGAGACCTCTGAAAAATGTATATTTTCTCTGAATTCATAGAATAATGTGAAGATTCTGGGAAAAGTTGGGATTCTGAGATTAAAACGTAAATCTTTCTAATCATAATTCTGGCAGTTTTTGTGTCCTTCTGCTGTGGAAAGTCGCGCAACATGAAGATACTGAGAAGATGCTTAAAACCTGTATTTTTATTCCATCCATAAATAAAATCATGAGCTATTTTTTTAATCCAAATTTGATCCAAAGGGCCATCGTTGGTTCCAGACCCGTTCTAGAACATTCCTCTAATCTTAAAGTCATCATCAGTTTCTTCCTTTTAACAAATATTTATTTGTTCAAATATTTAATATTTATAACTGGAATATTTGTTCCTCCCTTTCCCACTGCAGTTAGTCCTGTCCTGCAACCCTGTTTTTGCAGCTTAGTGAAGCCAGCCATCACTAACCTGGGGGTGGTTTTGGACCCAGAGATGCGGATGGACTCCCACATTAGCCAGGTGGTTAGATCCTGCTTTTCCCAGCTTCGCCAGCTACCAAAGATGAAGTCCATCCTGAAAGACGTGTCATATTTTCTCCCCAAGCCGGACCTGACCGTCATGTATCGGTCCAAAATAGTGTGATGATATTGTGTTTTTTGTACATAACAGACTTTTTAACAGACAAATTTGTCGCATTCTCCTACACCTCTTCACGGGCTCGCCACAGTAAATATTCTATTTGGTGAGAGATAAACTTTATTGTATTTATCCTAGTGAATGTATAATTAAACGGGTAAACTAGTAGCACCACATCCAACATCAAAGAAAGTAAAATGTTACTATCAGGAGAGGGAGAATGTTTTAGTGGTTAGCAGCAGTGTGCTAGTCGATGGCCCCCTCCATGAGGCCACCACAGCTCAGCAGAACATCGTTGTAGCTTCTTCTGGGGAGAAAAACACTTAGAGAGAAAATAAAGTTAACAGCTGAAATAGCAGGAAATAATACAGTTAAAGAGCAGATTGTAGAAGAAAGAAACCCCTGGGTTAAACTGGTCTGTCTACTGCATAATGCTGAACTCTAACATGTGTCCTCAGGGAAGGACCTGATTGGTGTCCAGAACCTGCTGAAGAAGCACCAGGCTCTGCAGGCTGAGATCACAGGTCATGAACCTCGCATCAAGGCTGTCACCCAGAAAGGAGAGACCATGGTGGAGGAAGGTAGAGCAGGTCTGGTCCTGACATGTTTCTGAGGTGTCTGCAGGTTCTGGCTCACTTTTTTTGGGTCCAGGTCACTTCGCTGGTGAGGAAGTGAAGACTAAACTGTGGGAGCTTCATGGACGTTGGGACACGCTGAAGGCCAAGGCGTCCCAGAGGAGGCAGGACCTGGAGGACTCTCTGCAGGCCCAGCAGTACTTTGCGGATGCTAATGAGGCCGAGTCCTGGATGAGGGAGAAGGAGCCCATCGTTGGAAGTCCAGACTAAGGGAAAGACGAGGACTTGGCCGAGGTATGGAAGTCCCTTCCTGAGAAACTCCAATCGCTTTTCTTTGCTCTCTTTCCAGTCCTTCATAATTAGTGTTTCTGTATTTGTCATTTCCTTCGGTTGTCTACCAGACATCGTTGCTCGTTTGAGCGTCTCATGGGTTAGGGGTAGAAGTGCTGGCCTCGCACAGGAAGTGATGACAAACGTGTTCCCGTCACTCTTATTTCAAACGGTTTACAAGCTGTGATGTGTGTTCCCGCTGCAGAGCAGCCATGACACGTGGCAGCCGGCAGAAGGCTCACGCTTTTCCACTAAACACACGCAGAGCTGCGTCTGCGGTGAACTGAGCAGGGTTTGTTTTACGGTGGCGGATCCGATTGGACCATCGCTGCGAGAAAGCTCCACTTGTGTCAGACGAGCTGAAGGTTCTGATGTTCTGCTCCACAGGCTCTCCTGAAGAAGCACGAGGCCCTGATGTCGGACCTGTCGGCTTACGGCAGCAGCATCCAGGCCCTGAAGGAGCAGGCCCAGTCCTGCAGGGTGAGTTCAGAACCCTCGGCCCGTCAGAACATTCTTATCCACCACGTTCTAACACCAGACCTGTTAACCCGACAGCAACAAGGTGATCAGCAGGTGCTTTTGTCCTGCAGGACCTGAAGGCCAACGAGTCCCACCTGAGGGACATCAACAAGGTGGCATCTGAACTGGAGTCAGAAGGTCTGATGGCTGAGGAGGCTCCTATGGTTCAGGCTCAGGTGAGCGTCACCTGTCTGCAGCAGCTGGTCCGTCTCACTTCCTGGTTTAACTCTGCTCGTCTCTGTTTGTAGCAACAAGAACATCTGGGTTCTGCTCCTGGAAAGGTGCATGTTGTCCTCCGCCTCAACCAGAACCAGACGTGGTGTTTATGTTACCACTCATTTGTTTGTTTGTTTACAGGATGAAGCCGACTCTAACACGGCGTCACCCTGGAAGGTGAGTTCGTTCAGCTGATCAGAGGTCACCTCTGATGGCCGCAGACACGGCCGACCGTGCTGACATCACACAGGAATTCAGGTGACCCGGCAGGCACCAGGTGCTGGTGAAAGTGGGGACATGTCAGCTGGTTGCCATGGCTACAGTTATCTTTATGCATCTGTATGACTGCTGACTGGTGTGTGTTTCCTGTGACCTTTGACCTCAGACCGTACGGTTGGGCGTTCAGACGACGGCTAACTTTAATTCCATCAAGGTAAGAGGAAGCTCTTCCCTTCATGTCTGAGCGATCCGTCTCCAGGTTTCCTCGTCCGGCGTCCAGCCCGCTGGCGTCCACCTTCATCTCATCTCACTTCATTTATAGTGCAATACTTTCACATTATCATTTTCCCACACTTCTGTATACCTGTATTTTGTTGTTTTTCAATAAAGAATGACAAATTATTTAAGTTTGGTTTTTGTTGCAATGCACACAAATATATATCTGTAAAAAATATCTTCAAAGCTAATGTTTACATAACAAGTATGATTGGGTTTGGCAATACGGCACTCAAGTTTATTTTAGTAAGATTTTCAAACCAAGTAAAGTTAGTAAAGAACACATTTCTATTGTCTGCTAAGAAACTGTTGGGATTTAAAATGGGCCTGTTGTACAAATAACTTGTAAATGATTATTCCTCACTTTTGTCTTAACCAAAGAAATTCCAGTAATTGAGCAAAAACATTTATTTTTAACACTACATTTTATAAAACAGGGCACAGTGTCGGCACATGTATGTATGTCGATGGTCCGCCCCAACCGAACCAAGAGACACAGACGTCAGGGAGGCCAAGGTTGTCTCTGCAGCTCTCTGGGCACCACGCCTCACTCAGCTGTCCCCAATGATCCAAATGGCTATGGAGGAAAAAAAATTTAATAAAAGAATGAAACTTAAAAACTCCCAAACCTCATGTCATATTTACTACTCAGCTATGGCTGATTTGTTTGGATCACAGTGAGTTACACTAATTCTAATATATTTTTATTTCTATTATACATACATACTTTTTAACTGTTATTTTCACATGACTGTTATCAGGCTCTCTTGTTCTGGTTCTGATGATAACTCTGTGTCTTCCAGTAAGTTATCTTGTGCTTACTTCATCTGTATAATGTCTCTTTACTTTTGGTAAATTGTACTGAGTCCAGAATAAAGGCTAGCTGGCTGTACAAGATACAAACAAGTATTACGTTTTGGAAATATATGAAACACCGCCAGCATCTGTTAGAGCCTGTGGCGGGGTGCTGAGGGCCGGCTCCAGCCCAGGAATGAGCTCTACACGCCGGCCGGGAGGGTTTGAAACACCGCCATCCTCTCCTCTGCTGGCTGTTCATTCTGTTATGGTTACCGGTGCTTGTGTTGCAATGTGAAACGCTTGGTCTCAGATTTTGTAAGAAAGATAATAAAATATCCCCCCAAAATACGACTTAAATATATTTTCTCTTCTTCATCTTCGTCTTCCTCCGCTTATCCGGGTCCGGGTCGCGGGGGCAGCATCCCAATTAGGGAGCTCCAGGCCGTCCTCTCCCCGGCCACCTCCACCAGCTCCTCCGGCAGGACCCCAAGGCGTTCCCGGACCAGATTGGAGATGTAACCTCTCCAACGTGTCCTGGGTCGACCCGGGGGCCTTCTGCCGGCAGGACATGCCCGAAACACCTCCCCGGGGAGGCGTCCAGGAGGCATCCTGACCAGATGCCCAAACCACCTCAACTGGCTCCTTTCGATCCGGAGGAGCAGCGGTTCTACTCCGAGTCCCTCCCGAATGTCCGAGCTCCTCACCCTATCTCTAAGGCTGAGCCCGGCCACCCTACGGAGGAAACTCATTTCGGCCGCTTGTATCCGCGATCTCGTTCTTTCGGTCATTACCCAAAGCTCATGACCATAGGTGAGGATTGGGACGTACTGTAGATCGACCGGTAAATCGAGAGACTGGCTTTCTGGCTCAGCTCCCTCTTCCCCACGACAGATCGGCTCAGCGTCCGCATCACTGCAGACGCCGAACCAATCCGCCTGTCGATCTCCCGATCCCTCCTACCCTCACTCGTGCCCAAAAACTAGTTTTCTTGTCCGGGGATTGGACCGCCAAGGCTCCCGCCTTGGTCTGCCACCCGATTCGCATTGCACCGGACCCTTCATGTTCCTCCTGCGGGTGGTGGGTCCACAGTTCTTCTTCATGATACATTTAATGGCTGGTGCGACTCAGGAGTGATAGCGCCGAAAAAAACTACTGAAAACTTGCTCAAAGCAAAATGTATTCATTACGGAAATAAATTATAAACTTACCGATTTAAAACTTTTTTAATACAGGTACTTCTCACGAACAGGCGCAGAAAAACTCCACCTAAACACCGTATGAGGTTCAGGTCGATGGGTGTTCCAGTTAGCTCCGGTTGGGTTGAAGCTAGGTGGCTACATCCGTTAGCTCGGCTCCCACCTCCGCTTTAGCTTAGGGTTAGCCAGGGTTAGCTTCAGGTTAGCTCGTAGCTAGTTCGCCTGGGTGTCGTCACTCGAGCCCAGCCTTACAGCCACACCCTCAGCGCCTCCTCTCTTCCCTTTTATGGAATTGTCTGGGCTGGACGGAACCTGTGACACGGTCAAAATGGCGGTGGTGGCCACCTCCCATTATAGACAACAAACGTGTTATTGAAGCCAATGGAATCCGTTTGTCCAGTATATGTACAGTCTATGAGAGGTATGCGCTTAAAGATCCGCTTCGCGCATGCACTGTGCATTACGGTAATAGATAAGCACGCGATCACTGCAGAAGAACCATGTTATGCAATATGCTGGTGAAGGTTCTCAGTCATCCAGGTCATGGTAATCCAAAAGGGTTCGATTGAGGCAACTGGACTCCTTTGGTTTCTCATCTGAGGAGCTGTGTCAGGTCTGACTGGAACATGGGGGGTCAAGTTTATAAGCAGTTGCTGTCTGTTGTTTAACGAGCAGAAACTACTCTGAGTACCCCTCCCCTCTACCCCCTGATGAGCCTCTATGTGAGAGTTGATTAGATGCAGGAATGTGTGACCTAGACCGAAACTAATTAGAAATGAGCTTTAAAGGGGCATTATGGAAGTTTGACAGCCAAAACATGTATAGAAATAATAAATGTCTTCTTCATACATTCTCCTGCAATGCCCTGGTCCTGTAGAATGAGCCCTGGCATTTTTACTGTGATTGCCTGTTTTTCTGTAAAACCACAGAAAAAGAGAGATGCTCGGGTCGAGCAGGCTGCTTCATGCGCGTTCACGCTCAGGCATCGCCCGTAGCATTTGCTATCCGTAGCTTTAGCAGCAGAGATAGAGGCAGTGCCACTTTGTCGCTGTTCCTAACGCCTAGTGACAAAGCTAGCTACATTTCTGAGGACCCTTAGCTACTTTCTGTAGAACTTTCTTCTAGATATTTCCTGCAAATTAGCAACAAAATAGACATTTTCACTCCGAACCGTTCTTTGGTTTGACGTTGTTTCAGCTGTCATCAAGGATATAAATGTTACAGATACAAAGGACGTCACTGGTGCTTTAGCTCACCTTGTAAGATGTCGGTCAATTGTGCAGAAGACTTGGGTTTGATTCTTGATGTGAACATAGTTTATTTAGTTTCTTTTTACATTAATGGTATATTTTTTTACAGTAAGATGACCAAATTTTTATTTGAGACTCGCTGAACGGCATTGAATTCATAGATAAAAAAGATGTGTGTTCAACTTTCATTTTGGAACAATTTTTCAAGCAAGGGAAGGGAATGATCTGAGCATGCAGGACTGACCCATCATAAACCTTTGTCGGCTGTGCTGAAGAGAAAGGTACAGAACCACATTATTTAATTAATTAGCTGCGTGTTCTCCTGTCCTCTGTCCACACACACACACACACACACACACACACACACACATGCACACACACACACACACACACGGGACTGTCTCAGCTGTTATTTTCGTTAAGGAGTGTGCACGTACAGCATGCGCGCCTCGTGCACGAGCCTACTATTGAAGCTGCTGTTACACTTTTGGCCTGAGGGGGCAGTCGCGCGCATAAAAATTCAAAAGTCCGTAAAGTCCCTTTAAAGCTCGGCTGAGAGAGGACAGTGTGACGAAGACGGTGAGAAAATGAGCGCCAGCAGTCGGAAAGTGGAGAATTCTTAAAGTGTTCAGTTATTAAATCCATATAAATGATAAATATTTGATATACTGCTTTTTTACATTAGTAAATCATTTTACATACAGTTTTGCATTATTTTCGTTATAAATGTACTCTACGCAACAGAGAATCTGAGGAGCCACTTGGGAGCCGAAAGAGCCGGCTCTTTTTGGTGAGCTGAACCAAAAGAGAATTCCCATCACTAGTTACCTGTTCTGCTGCTATTTGTATCACCTGGAGCTTCTTCCTGGGTCATTTTAATTTATTATATTTGCTTGTTTTAACCTAATATTTTGTCTGTGAAGCATTTTGCTCAGCCTCGCTGTGAAAATGTGACCTTTGTTCTGTTTTAATGCAAATAATAAAAACATTTTCAGGACAAAATTCCTCAAACACACAAATATACTAAAATTGAATTCAAACAAATATATTTTAATCTAAATATTTTTCATTCATCAACACACGCCGTGTGATAAAATCTGCTCAGCAGGTGTCTGGCTGGCGTTAAGCGTGGCAGCGTCACCGTTAGGGCGCAGGTTCAACTCCAGGCCGCAGTTACTGTGTTCTCCCACAGACCAGAAACATGCATGTCATTTTTTTCTGTTTTTCTTCCTTTAACACGCTTGCATCTGTGTATATACGACAATTACAACTTTGTAAAAACATTAAAATAAGTTTATTATAGATGAAGTTTCGTTAAACGTTGATCTGTTTTAGCTCAAAGGCCCGTCGGTGTGTGCGTGAGCAAACGGGGATGCCTTCAGACGGATCAGCTTCAGAAGAAAAAAAAACATCTTTTTATAACAACCAACATTTACGGGTTGCAGCATTAGATTTTCTAGGATTTTGTCAGAACCAGAACCGGGCTCGTAATACTGCTCCATAGCCATAGGAGGAAGAGTCCAGCATTCCCTAATGGATCCATCTGAATTTGAGTCTTTTAGTAAAGAAATCCTTCTTAGTAAGCCCGGCCGATGTTAACAACCAATATTTTTTCTATCTTGTCTCCATTAGTTTGCCTGTTTCTGACGGTGAGGGGGTGATGTTAAATTGTTAAGTCGTGTGAACAGTGAATGAAATCATCTCAGAAGCATAGATGTGTGTGTACATTATAATGTAAATTCGGCTTTTATAATATTCTTTTTATACAAAATTGCTGATTTTAGAAGCATTCGTGTCAGTAAATCGGTATCGGCCATAGCAGTGAACTTAATACCTGATATCGGCCCAAAAATGTCATATCGGTGCATCTCTAGAAGAAAGTAACCATGACAGAGACAGAGAGGAAATTATCTCTGTCGTGCCCCAAAACAATTCCTAATCGGAATCTGGCGCCCTTGAGCCTGCAAGGCTCCAACGAAAACTCCCCCCTCAGAAGATATGTAGAATGTGCCGTCGCTATGGCAACTCAACTCTGTCTCCTATCCCAGCCTGGGCGGGACAGTGGGAAGGCCGTTGAATCGTTCCAGGGTCACTGCAACCCTCAATGCTCCTCCCCCTATCCACACTGAGGTGACGAGAGCTGCTTATCGTGGCTGCAAGAACCGAAGTGGGGATAGTCCCAACCCACCACCCCACCTAGTGGACACTTATGTTGTGTGTTGACAGAAGTCTGTTGCATTTCTGTCTGAGGTGTTTTTTTGCAGAGCAAAGCTGTCCTCCTGCTGGAGGGTAACTCTGAAGTGCCTTTTTTTCCCTCCACCTGAACCAATCCTCAAGTAACCCTCTGATCTCTATTAAGGTAGCGCGACTCAGGGTTGCGAATGACCTCGGGTGATGCGTTCAGAGTGGTTACCATGGTGATAACATCATCAAACCGGTAATGGAGTAGGACTCTCCCTCCTGCTGCTTAAACATAGACCAGAAAATCAGATCCATTATGTATTTAATAATAACTAAACAGATAAAATGTGATCAACAGAACCAGGATTGCTTTAGAAACCGAGTTCTGATCGGATGATTCTGTGAACATTCGAAACAGCTTCAGTCCCAAGAGTTTCTGTCTGTTGCTGTTGAAGTTCAAATGTCCCATGTTCTCCTGACACCTTAAACGTCCCTTTAGTCTGTTCCTTTCTTCTTCTTCTTCTCCTTCTCCTCTTCATCTCCTATAGCTTTCCTCTTCACCTTCTCCTCCACCCTCTCCATGCTGTCCCAAACTTCATCCTCTGCGTCCTCCTCCTCCTTCACCTCCTCCTCTCCTGTGGGGCCCTCCCCTTCCCCCTGCAGCTCTCGGCTGGACAGGAGGACGCAGTTCAGCCGGGACTTTAGGTAGACTTTATGCAGCAGCTTCCGGTCCTCCAGGCTGTGAATGCGGAGGAAGCGGTCCAGGCCGCAGGATGCCACCAGGGGCTGAGAGGCGTGGCACTGCAGAGCACGGACGCCCCCCGACAGCCCCTTCATGCAGCCACGAACCAGCCCCTTCCTCAGGTCCAGCAGTGCCATCTGACCCTGGGTGTTCCCCACCACCACCGAGGTCCCGCTGCTGGGTAGCGACAGAGCCGTGAGCGGGTATTCGCCATACTCTGCCTCCAGGACAGGCCGCCTCTGAGGGGACGAGGGGTCAAAGACGTGCACCTGGAAGACAAAAATACTCATAAACAAATAAAACCACTAAACCAAATTATTCTGTTTCGGCAAAAGTCTTCCTGATTAACGTCTTCAAAGCAGCAGTTTGAGTGTATGGTGGCCCAGAGCGGCCAACTCCAGGAGCTGGTTGGAGTTTGGCTGTAGGGTCTTTGGACCTTCTAGTCTAGAGGTGAGGAACCCTGGTTCATTAAGGGCTGCTACCCTGTATGTTTTTGTTGTTTCCCTGCTTCAACACATCTAGTTTTAATCAGCAGGCGATGAACAGGTAACTCAGGTGTATCAGAACCAGCACTTGGACGGTGGCCCAGGAGGGCCAGGGCTGGAGAGCCTGGTTCTGTTCATCTGATTACATCTCAGTTGTTTTTTTTAGCAGTGACGTGAGATTCGGGCGATGTTCTGAAATAGAACCACACACCTGGTGGAATCCTGTGCACGTGACCACCTTTTCCGAGTCCGGGATGAAAGCTATGTCCCGGACCCAGTGCGGCCTCCGCAGATCCAGATAGTCGTCCCGGAGGTTCTTGGCGGTGAACACCGGTTTCTCAGGCCGCTCCAGGTCCCACATCTTCAGGCCGTTCTCCTTCCCGCCGGTCGCGACTCGGTTCGGCTGCACCGGACTCTGTCGCATCTTGCAGACGTTTTTCCCGGCGTCGATTTGGGTGACCGGTTCGGAGGAGTCCTCCCTCCAGACCCGCACCTTCCCGGAGTCCACGCAGGTGAGCAGGGTGGAACCGGACCCGCTGAGTACCGCCAGTCCGCTGAAGCAACCCTCCTCCGGGTCCCCGCAGCGACGAACCTCGGTGAAGATCCCCTTCTCGGTACTAAAGGTTCGGACGGTTCCGTCCACGATTCCGAGCAGCAGTTCGGTCTCGGTCGGGTCCCCCCAACACAGCGCGCGGATCTCCTGGTCCCGGCTCAGCTGGCGCGTGTTGCTGAAGTTAAAGGCTTGTTTGTGGGATAGACTGACCCCCTTCAGGATCCCGGTCTCCGAACCGAGCCACACGGAACACAGCCGGCTCTGCTCCCCCATCACGGCGCGGTTAAAGCTCAGAAAACACGATTTTGAACCTAGAAACGATCAGGATACACACGTGCTTGTTTTGTGTCGCGTAATTTCTACGTCACTCGATTTATTTTTTTCAAACTTTATTGGTCAGAGCAGTGACAGACAGAAACAGGCCAGGCCCGGTTAAAAAACTTTACATTCAGCGGCCTAAAGAGACGTTTTCATGGCTATTTTGCATTCTCTGTTCTGAACCAGCCTGGTTCTGGTTTGGCTAGGTCCAGTTCTGCTCATCAGGTCCAACACTGAGCCCAATTCATGTGAAGCCAGGACACTTTTCTGGGGCATCATGCCATCAGTGCAGTCACGACTCTGGAGCATGTGTGTGTTTATGTATTTCTGAGCCTTTTTAACACGGATGAATTTGCCCCTCCTCCACCTCTTTATGCATTCACCACATCCAAACCCACATCGGAGACAGCAAAACGGAGACAGAGAAAGAGGAAATTCAAACCATCTCTTCCATCGATCATAATGGGCAATGTGAGATCACTGGCCAACAAGATGGAGGAACTCCAAGCCCTTTCAAGGACTCAGCCAGAGTTTCGGCAGTTTCGGAACCGCTGGAGGAGATAATGCAAAGAAGGATTCTCCAGAGAATCAAGAAAATGATGGACAACCCTGAGCATTCTCTTCACAAGACTGTCCGACAACGGAAGAGTGTCTTCAGTCAGAGGCTTCTTCAGTTTGGCTGCAACACTGACCGCTACTGGAGATCCTTCCTGCCAACAGCCATTGTAATATACGACAACTCTTTGATGACTTGATTATTATTATTATTCTGAGCTACTACAGCAATCAATTTCCCTCTGGGATTAATAAAGTACTTTTGAATTTGAATTTGAATCTCCCATAATTTCCATCAATTCAACGTTTATCTTTGTACTCCTTTAGTCACGGTTGTAAAATCATTCATATACTCTGACTTTTTCTGCGAGGTGCTCTTCAGCCTGCCCCATGTCCGTCACTAGATGTCTTCGGTACTCATTTTATTATTCAAAATTAATGTTACAAGTGCGATATTCTGGCCACAGGAGGCAAACGGGGTTGGGTGCCTTTAATGGGTCATTTTAGAGCACAAGAAAACGATTTAGAATATGGGAAAGTTGCAAATTGTCCCTTTAAAAGAGCGAGAGTGTAGCGCCAGGTTTTCGCCACTGCATTGTTTGTGTTATGTACATGACATCTTACATGCATGGCATCATTTCCCCTTCTCGGTTTGAAAAGTGAGTTGTAGTGCTGTAGTTAGCTGGGTGAAGCGCTTTGACGGGTTGGACACTTGTCCAAGTGTCCCACGTCTCTCACCTGTTGACTGATGTGAGAGTCATGTCTCTATTCTGTAATGTCTCACTAATAAAGTTTTTTATAAAACAACATGACGTAAACACCATGCGCCTGTGCTCTGCGCATGCGCACACCGCGGCGTTCGCACCATTTTGAGTGTCGTAGAGCTAGCAGCGGCTAGCTGACAGTGTTGCTGGGTTTTCGTTAAACTGCATTTTATTTGTTTGTGTTTTTCGTCGATAGGAATCCCGACTAAACAAACACCTGTCCTCGCGCTCAGGTCCAACCAGAAGTCTGTCTTCGTCTGACAAATGGACGGAGAAGAAGACGACTTCATGTCCGGGAGCCACTCCGGTAACCTAGCTTTGTTTACAAGCTAACAGCCACAAAGAGCGATTTCCCCTGAAAAGTCTTTATGTACGCGTGTCTACCGGTGAACCGGGCCTTTAAGCAGCTTCCGAAGCTCTGAGTAGCAGTGCAGCAGTTTGGGTTTCTGTAGCTTGGTGTTACACATGACTCTGTCCGGCTAGCATCACATTCACTGGTGTTGCAGGGCGGCAGCAGCTTCAGACCAGTGGTCGCCGCCGCTTTAAAGCTGCTTTTCTAGCTTTATTTGTTGTTTTTGTTTTGTGTTTAAAGAGCAAGTCACTCCAAATCAACACTTTTTTTTTTTGCTGATGAACTATATAAATGAGTGTCTGATCGTGCTGTAGACACGTGTAGTCAATATTTCGGCACTTCAGTGCATCTTAGTTAAAATTAAAATATTCTGCCTAAAACTGTCAGCGATGCACCATCGTCAGGCAAAAACTCTGCACTACATTTGAATTTAAATCTGCCATTGGCTAAGAGGTACACTATGATGTTGGATGGCACATTATGATGTCACAATGTTGTGAGTGTGTGTGTTTGTTAGTGGCTCCGCCCTCTCGGTCTGCTAGGCAACAGCATTTGTTGCATTTTTCAAACAGTGAGTGCGTTTACATGCAGCCAGTAACCCTTTTAAAACCCGAATATTCACAATAACCCGGTTCCGCACAGCCATGTAAACACCGCCAAAAACCCGGATATGCTCATAAACACCGCCAAAAACCCGGATATGCTCATAACCGGGTTTTTAAAAACCCGGTTACTACACCTGGGGTAACCCTTTTCTAACCCGAATGTTTGGTCGTGTAAACGCACATCGGGATATCCCCATCAAAGCGTGTGTTCTGTGCATGCTCTGTTCACAAGGAATCTTGGTCTTTTGAGTAGCGAGACGTTTTGTATGCACCAGAACACCGGAAGTAAACAACATGTCTGGAGCAACATGGCGAGTCGCGGCACAGCACCACACTTTTGGAGTGACGAGGAAACCTCTGTCTTCATCGGTCTGCTGGTGGGTCAATACCAGAACTAAAGTGCAAACAAACGCGGTCGCTATCTCTTCCGAACTGGGAAACATGTTGTTGTTTTCACGGATACCGGAACAAGAAGAACCGGAAATGACGCATATAGCGTCTGGACGTAGTCCATACGTCCTGGCGCTACCCCAACGTCCGCATTTAAATCGGGTTATGCAACTTAGAGGTAACTCTTTCTATTTATGCTTGTAAACGGGTTCTTCTGATCAACTCAGAAACCCGAATAAAGACCTTAACCCGATCATAACCCGGATATTGGCTGCATGTAAACGTAGTCAGTAAGTGGGAGTTGAAGAATCTGGTAGGGGGTGACTTGATCTTTATTAAACTCATCTTAGCACAGCCGGCCATTTGACCGTACGCTCCTCTCACATCCTGGTTTTTCTACACATCAGTGATTTGTGCAGAATCAACAAAACACGTTTCTAAACGAAGAAGCACTTTTTGGTTTTGGTTATCATAGTTTTATTAACTATGGGAAACTGGAGGTTGTCTTTTGTTAAACACGCTCTAAACGAATGTGGATCTCTTTGTTTGAAAAGTTTCTAAATGCAGGAAATCAGAAGACGAGGCTGACCCACGTGACCTCGTAAATCAGATGTAACAGACAGAAGCGGGAGGACCTGATTTGGTTTTACTTCCTATTAGAATGTGGAAATGTAGAAATCACAGAGTCCCTTTAATAATCAGCCCTCTTTGTTTAATCAGTTTTGTTTCTTATCGTCTCTAGAAAAATGTAACATGGGCGAGTTTAGTCTATTCTGCCCATTTTTGTCACCCAGCATGTTATAATGATCATTAAAACACAAAAATAATCATCGTTTGAATCATGTTTCATGTTTAGTTTACCAGTAAACTCATCGAAGGCATCAGAGGTTTTTCCAGCCTCGCTCTGTCGAATAATCTAAATGTGTTAGCGATGTGTGTTTTCAGACGATGGAGACGCCACTCCGGTTCAGGATGAAAACCCTCCATCAGACGGCGAGGATATGAGGAGCGACCACCACTCTGAGGTCAGACTGCTCTGGGAGTCTGATTCCTGTCTGTGGCCTGGTTTATATTTCATTTAAAAAATAAAATACTCTGTTGATGCTGCGATAATATTATAAGGTGTGGTTTACTGAAAATATAATTATTATTGGTCATTCAGTTTTTAATGCAGGTTGAATATGAAAATAGTCTCCTACACCTATCTCCTGCAGTAGCTTCTGATAGAAAACAGACGGTGAAACTCTAGGATTAGAAAATCCTGACAGATCTACGTGTAATGAAATGGAGGTTATTACATCTTAATTAATGAGTCGTAAGGCGTGGGATTCCATAGGAAATATGAAATCCACCTTATGGATCGAAGGGTTATTTAAACCAGAAGATTGGATCTTTTTATTGCAGAGATTATGTAAGCGTTATGTATTCACTCAGAAACAACAGAATAGAGAGTCAAGTTTAAAAGTGAAGAATTTTATTACTAACAATTTAAACTAGACTGACTTTAAAACTAAATGTATAGTGTAACTAAAAATGGATGAGGCGGTGAATGGATGAGGTGTAATGTTAAGTCAGAACCAGCAAATCCGAAGAAGCGATTAGTTCTGACATGAACTGAAGATGTTGTTTTGCATTAAGCTTTGGTTAGCTTCAGGAAAAACATGAGACACCATCATGCCGGCCTACCTTGCCTTCGGTGGAAGTCCTCTGTAGATCAGGAATATCGAGGTCCAGTGGACCCTCTCTGGAAACCGGGCCGGTAGGAGAAGCCGCGGTTCCGATCAAACCCGTCTTGAGTTACCTCCGGCACACGACACTTTTATTGGCGTCTGGTCAGACCCAAGCCTGGGTCGGTGGATGGAGCTTTTATTCTGAAAGGAGCTGTTGTTGCCACTGGTTGTTATAGCGACTGGATTTTTCAGCTTGTCGTTCTTTCGGTTGAAGAGTTAAAGGTCAGGATCGGCCACTCCGACACTCACTCTGGAACGCTTTGAACTGGCGTTAGAGCTGACGTGGCGTAGTTTTATACCTCGGATGTTTTGGTTTATTGTTAAATGAAAATTACCAAACACCGTCAGAACCACGCCTCCGTCAGATCTGTAAGATTCTGATTGGCTCAGTGAAAGGAATGTGTTGTCTTTTTAACGCTACGTGAAATGAGTCCTGTTGGAACACTTAGTCATATTACTTATTATATTCTATTGGATTATAATAAAGTAATTAATATTTTGATTTCACAGATCGGTCACATCTTATTTATTGACCAACACTTTGATGGATTAACTTATTTAAAATAGAGTTCTTTGATTAATTAAAAGAAAAGAGTTCATTCTTCTGTTGAGCTGAAAATAAGCAGGTTAGAAGGAATGCATGACACCTTGAGACCATATCTCATGCAGACTAGTCCTGAGCAGAGGAGGTAAAAATAAGAGTCATTCGTTCCGTTACATACGTCACACTGTCACTAACATTCATGGACTCAGCCATCTTGACTCGTGACGGGGAAGGCTGTTGTTGGGTTAGCGTCCAGGAAACAGCAGAGAACGTCTCTGCTAGTAGAAGCAAAACGTTAGCATTAGCAACTCCACCACACAGCAGAACTCCTCCAGGCTTGTGTTATTTGTGGAGATAAAACATCAGCGGAGTCAGTGGGAGAGTCGTGTTGCTGTTAGCCAATCAGAGGAGAGATGTCCAGATCCTGTTGTATGAAGCTGCTTTCCCCTCCAGCTGACCCGAACAGAGCTTCACGAGTGTCCGTTCACCAGGCGGCAGCATCCGTCAGATCTCCTGGTTGCTCTGAAACGGTTTGCAGCCCAACGCTTATTGATGAGGTTTTTTCTTTTTGCCTCTGAAGGATGAAGGCAGTAACGATGCTATGGAAACCGGCGGGCCAGCTAGTGGTTCAGACACCGAGGACCGCCGCGAGGCCAACAGCGACTCAGATGGCGAGGCCCCCGGGAGCCACCATGGCAGAAGTGACTCTGAGGCGGAGGCGCCGGCGCCTGCCGACAGTGATGAAGACTCTCCCGTCAAACGCAGGATGAGCGCTTCAGACAACGAAGAGGAGGAGGAGTCACCGGAGAAACGCCAGGCATACGGGTCGGACAACGAGGAGGAGGGGGGGTCGTCTCCCGTCAAGCATGATGCTTCTGACAAAGAGGAGGAGGAGGGGGGGTCATCTCCCATTAAACATAATGCATCTGACAACGAGGAGGAAGGGGGGCCATCTCCCATTAAACACGACGCTTCTGAAAACGAAGAGGAGAGATCGTCTCCCACCAAACGCAGAGGGAGTAGCTCGGAGGTGGAGGACGGTGAGGAGGTGCTTAAAGCTGCTGCAAACAGCGACTCTGAGGAGGAGGCCAAAGCTGCAGCATCCCCCGACCGCCGCTCTGACAGTGACTCTGAGAACGAGACGCCTGCCAGACGCAAGACGGCACAGATAAACTCTGAGGAAGAGGAGGAGAAACAGGAGGAGGAAGGAGGAGGGAAGTGGAAAGGAAAAATGCAGTCCGACAGCGAGGAGGAGGAGGAGCAGAGACAGCCGAGGAAGGCTGCTGCTGGAAGTGATGAAGAGGAGCAGCAGCAGGAAGAGGAGAAGCAGCAGAGAGATGACAGCGACGAGGACGACGAGGCACCAGGTACTGACCTGAGATCAGCTCCAGCACTCGTCCCGTCCTTCAGGGGGGACGAGATTTAATCAGAACCTAGAAAATCAAACTCCAGATTCTGTTCAGAGGTTCCAGTTTGTAGTTCCGGGTTAGGATCAGATCCCAAAGGTGGGAAGTTTCATAGAAACAGAAGAGTTTCAGTGAGAAGCCGAAGCTCCGAGTTCCCACGCGGGCCAAGACCCTAAACTCACCGTTTCTTCTCCAGCAGAGTTAGGAAGGTTCTCCAGAGGGAGCAGAGCTTCAGCTTCCTGCTGCAGGTGGGGATCCGTTAACGTGTGTTTGTGTCCACAGTGAAGAGGAAGAAGGCCGTCCTCTCGGACAGCGAAGAGGAGGAAGAGGAGAAAGCAGGAAAACCAGGTGGGACCCAGACACACTGTTGGTGGTGAAGGATCCCAGCTCTCGGTTTATGAATAATATCGTCGTGTTTGATTGTTTTATTCCAAATGTAAAACAATCAGTTTAAATCTCCTCAAAGAAAATCAGATCTGTATTAACAACGTCGTTTCAGAACAGGAAACGTCTCAGACTGCTGGTAAAAATAGGATTTACCTAAAACTTTAAACAAAAATAAATGTAACTTTTTATCATTATTCCTGAAACCTGAAAACTTCATGAATTTAATAACATCAATTAATAATCAAATCAAAAATGTTTAGTAAAAAATAACTAATATTTGGTGTTTGGAGGATTGAAACTTGAGTTTGGATCCAATAATTAATAAAATGGTTTATTGGTGGAAATGTTGTGATTTAAAGTAGCACAAGTGTTGTCGGTCGTCTCAAACTGGTGTGTTCTGGTTCTCAGCCGTGAAGAGGAGTCGGGCGATGTCGGACGATGAGAACTCAGACAGCGACGACGGTTCTGCCGGCCTGGATACGAGTCTGGCTGCCAAACTGAAGGAGCTGGGCTCAGACAGCGGGAGCGACGACGACGACAGGACGAAGGCAGCGACAGGGAAGAAGGACGAGAAGGCGCTGTTCGGGTCCGACAGCGAGTCAGGAGACGAGCAGGAGTGAGTCTGAGTTCAGATAACGTTCTTATGTATTATTATTATTATTATTATTATTATCAGCGTCCTGGTCTCTGAGTCTGTTTTCATACTAACCGAATGAAGAATATTCTGTTTTACTATTATTATTATTATTATTATGAATATGAATATTATTATTATTAATAACACTACTATTATTATCATTATTAATATTATATTAATTACTATTATTATTATTATTATTATTACTATTATTATTGTTATTATTATTATTATTATTATTATTATTATTATCAGCGTCCTGGTCTCTGAGTCTGTTTTCATACTAACCGAATGAAGAATATTCTGTTTTACTATTATTATTATTATTATTATTATGAATATGAATATTATTATTATTAATAACACTACTATTATTATCATTATTATTATTATATTAATTACTATTATTATTATTATTATTACTATTATTATTGTTATTATTAATATGAATATGAATATTATTATTAATAACATTACTATTATTACTATTATTATATTATTATTATTACTATTATTATCATTATTATTATTATTATTATATTAATTACTATTATTACTATTATTATTGTTATTATTATTATTATACAGCTAATTTCTAAAACAAAGTTTTTCAAATTGAGGTAAGAATTCACACCGCAGATAAAAACCCACCATTACGTCTAAGTTATTCCTCCCAGATACGTTCAGTAAGCTGTGAAATAAAACGGACATTATTACATAAAATCTAGATTTATAGTCTTAACAGCTTCATGCCGATGGCTTTTATTCATGAACAGGAAGTAGAGGTGGGGCCCCCAGCAGGAGCTCACTGATTTATTACGTCACAGCGACACTTTATTGTATTTATCCACTCTCCTCTCTCTTTAGTATGCTAAAGTCAGGCCAACGCTAGCACACACACACACACACACACACACACACACACACACACACACACACACACACACACATACAATCACGTGTTTTAAATCCCAACACTAACCAAAACTCTGGCAGCGTTTTAACTGTTAAAGAGCAAGTCACCCCCTAATCAACTTTTTTTGCTGATACTGGAAATGAGTGTCTAATCATGTTGTAGACATGTGATGTCAATAGTTTGGCACTTTAGTGCATCTCAGTTCAAATGTAAATATTCAGTCAGAATTGCGCCAACTTTAGGCAAAAAATCAGCACTGCATTTGAATTTAAAGAGCAAGTTGCCCCCAAATCAACTTTTTTTCTGAAACTATATAAATGTGTGTCTAATCGTGCTGCAGACACGTGTAGTCAATAGTTTTGCACTTTAGTGCATTTTAGTTAAAATTTAAATTTTCTGCCTAAAACTGTCAGTGTTGTGCCGTTGTCAGGTAAAAACTCTGCACTGCATTTGAATTTAAATCTGCCATTGCTATTGGCTAAGAGGTACCCTAGAACGTTAGCTGGTACCATATGATGTCACAATGTCGTTGTGAGCCTGTGTGTGGCAGTTTCTCAATACTCAAGGATGCTAGTACGTTCTTTTGTACTAGACAAGTATGTTCTTGGCAAGGACACCAGAAAGTGAAACTGCTCTGTTAGCAGTGACTGAATCCTTAAAAGAAGCTAGAGCGACTGCCAAATCCTCAGTGCTTATCCTGCTCGACTTATCGGCTGCATTTGACACTGTCAACCATGGCTTCCTTTTGTCCACACTCTCTAGCATGGGAATCACAGAGAAAGCACACGCCTGGTTTGAATCGTACCTCACAGGACGATCATTCAGTGTATCTTGGCTTGGACAATCCTCTACCGTGCACCATCTTGCCACAGGAGTCCCCCATGGCTCTGTACTAGGACCTCTTCTCTTTGTCATATACACCGCCTCACTGGGTGAGATCATTCGATCACATGGCTTCTCCTGCCACTGCTATGCAGACGACACCCAGCTCTATCTGTCATTTCCACCGGACGACCACACTGTCTCTGCACGAATATCAAACTGTCTCTCTGACATATCAAAATGGATGAAATCCCACCATCTCCAACTCAACCTCTCTAAAACTGAACTACTTGTCATCCCAGCAAAACCATCCATTCAGCACAATATCTCAATCCAAAATGACTTCCTATCTCTGGCTCCTTCAAAGGCAGTTCGAAATCTGGGTGTTGTGATTGATGAACACCTGACCTTTAAAGATCATGTTGCCTCTGTTGCTCGTTCATGCCGCTTTGCGCTGTATAACATATGAAATATCAGACCATACCTAACACAACATGCCACCCAGCTCCTGGTGCAATCTACTGTCATCTCCCGCCTCGATTACTGCAACGCCCTTCTAACTGGTCTTCCAGGCTGTACTGTGAGACCTCTTCAAATGGTCCAGAACGCAGTGGCGCGTCTGGTCTTCAATCAGCCAAAAAGAGCACACGTCACCCCTCTGTTCATTGAGCTCCACTGGTTACCGCTAGCAGCACGCATCAAATTCAAATAGCTAACACTAGCATACAAGGTCCGAGATGGTGCGGCTCCCATCTACCTGAATCCTCTTGCAAAGACTTACGTCTCGGCCCGGCCGCTCCGGTCATCACAGGATCGTCGGCTAGCAGTGCCTACACCACGCTCAGGACAATCCAGACTCTTCTCATGCATCGTTCCACAAACGTGGAATGACCTTCCAAGCACTACCAGAACAGGAGCTTCCTTTTCAATTTTCAAGAAACTCCTGAAGACCCTGCTCTTCAGAGAGCATCTTCTAAACTAGCACCCTCCCTGCACCCGTCCCCCCTCTCTACTGTCCACTCCTTGTTCCCTCCTCTCCATGATTCATCATGCTGCTTCACTGCCACCTACGACTGACTGGAAATTGGTTGTTATTGTTGTTGTTGTTGTTAGCCTCAAGGGCAACACGCCGATTATCACTTGTAAGTCGCTTTGGACAAAAGCGTCTGCTAAATACATAAACATAAACATAAAGTCTGTTTCACCGAGTACAAAAGGATGAGGACGGCATTTTGGAACAGAACTGTACTCCGTTGCGTCATGGCAACAAGCGCTGCTTGTTTCTAGCTACGGTTAAACAACCTGATATAAAAATAAGTTTGTTTTTTTCCTTAAATAACAAAATAACTAAAACAAATTATTTGTATTATATTTGGTCCACTTTTGATCAAAAACTGATAAAATATCAGCTTTTTCTGCAGTTAAATGAATAAAAATTGACATTTTTGATCAAAATGGAGCTACTCTGCTTTTATTTTGATAGTGGGTTGGCTAATTAGCATTTTGAGGGATCATGAAGCTTAAAACCCAAATACATACAGCAAATTTTACAGGTAACACAGTTATTCACAGTAATAGTCAACTGTTTTTTACTAGTATTTCCGTATATAAAACTCTACAGTCATTAGATTTCTCCTCTGACGTTCAGAGTATTATGGTTGCGACGCAATGCATTATGGGAAACTGTTGTGCTGAGGCCACAGAAAGATTAGTTGATGCATCCTCAATCCAGTGGGCGGAGCAAGAACACATCTGGGGACTTTGAGCAAACTTGCCATGATGCTTACTTAGAATTGGACCGTCGTTGACGTTTTATAAGGACACGAGTACACAAATACAGACAAGTATGCATATTGAGAAGCGGCCTTTGTGTGTATTTGTTAGCGGCTCCGCCCTCTCAGTCTGCCTGGCAACAGCATTTGTTGCATTTTTCAAACAGGAAGTGGAGTAAGACTTTTAGGGGGTGGCTTGCTCTTTACAGGACAGGTAAAATCTAACTTCTCTCTAACTAATCCGTTACTTCCTGTTTTCATTGTGTCACCTGGGTTTCTTGGTCATGTGACTGGTGTTTGGTAGGAGTGAATCAGACCCGGACCAAAATCACCACCAATCCAAAAGAACCTCGATTTTCATCAAATGCTAAAGAACAAGTAAACCCGTAATGACAAAGTGTGTGTGTGTGTGTGTGTGTGTGTGTGTGTGTGTGTGTGTGTGTGTGTGTGTGTGTGTGTTGCAGGAAAATGATCGCCGACATCTTTGGGGAGTCTGGAGACGAGGAGGGGGAAGAATTCACTGTAAGGATCTTCTCTGGTGTTTGGCTTAAACCTGGGTCGTCACGGTGTGAAAGTGTAACCTCACGGTTATTGTGACCAAAATTATCACGGTGTTCGGTATTATCGCGGTATTTCTTTTAAACGTGTTACACTTTCAGACAACTACATAAACCCTGTATGTCAGGAAAATTTTGTCCTCAGTTTGTGTCTAAATTTAGCCTAAAATGTGTTATTTTGTAATTATGTTGTTTATATGTTTACATTTTTCCCCTTTAGTCTTTAAAATACCAATATTTGTCCATAACTTCTTTTTTTGTCTGTTTGATGTCATCATTTAAAAATATTAGACCAGATGATACTCAGTACTCAAGTAGCCTTCTAATCAGATACTTTTTTTTACCCTTACTTGAGTAATAAACCCTATATCAGGAAAATATTGTCCTCGGTTTGTGTCCTTCCAGTGAGCTTTGCAGATGTGGGAAAATGTCATCAGGCAGTAATCGTTGTTAAATTCATAATTATTCTCGGAGAGAGACCAACTCTTATCTGCCCCTGGGAGCCCCGTAGTGCATAGCGTCATTTCAACATGGCGGTGTCCGCGACACGGTTTATATGCAGGTAGCGGCGCTGCGGCTGCTTTATATAGCGACTCGATGCATTCTCCCTCAACCCAAATCCTCGGATCACGCATTTTAGCTAAAACGCTAACGTTAGCTTGCCTTGCGTTGACTGTAGAGTTGTGGGTGATGGTCACGCAGATGTGTCATGAGATTTGAAGCGTTGCTGCCTTTCACAGACACTTTTTCTGCACGTGCTGAAAACAGGATAGCCGTCTTCTATCAACTGTCCCTCTGCATTCTTCAAATATCCAAAAGATGCCCGTACTTCCCACTTTGTCTTCTTTGAGGGATAATAAATGTCCTGAGTGCTGCCGTCTCCTCCTTTGGCCATTATTTCAGCTTTAGCTTCAAGATGGTTGTAAACAACAAAGTGCGCATGTGCCGCCGGCAACTTCAGCAGATGATACGGTGGCTGGTAAGGGTCACCGCGCCTACACCGCAGCCACGCTAATCCACCGAGATAATATATCTTTTAAAAACAAGACGGTTATTATTATTGTCAAGTTTTTTATCGGGATTTACCGCT